GAAACACCTAATAATATTAAGAGTACAAAAACGGTAAATACCTGCGGCTAAGAACCTAACAATTAAGAACCTGTTAGCCTAAATTTGCCATTTATACCCCCTCTTGACAAGAAGCTATTTAGCCTAAGAAAGTTAAAACAGGTTCTTATTTTCAAAATTCATCATTCTATCAAAACACAAGAATAAGAGAATCAGTACAATGTCTTGTTGGGGTGAGGTAGTGGTGGCAGATAAAGTAAGATACAATTACCAAGTTGCTTGCAGCAATGTTTTCATATTTTTTCTCCTGTACTTAAGAACCAATTTCAATTACCTAATTAGCCTAAAATTCTCTTCAGTACATTTATAAAAGAATATAAGACATTTAATGTTATTTCTATTTGATAGTCTTGTAGTGGCCAGTGTCAGGTTCATTGGGAAATACAATCTGCCTCTTTAAACTTTTTTACTTCTATCTATTTTACTTCTATTTTTTACCTTGCCATCCTTTATTTTTCTGACAACCACATCTGAGAAGTGACCTCCCAACAGCTTAAGGAGTGTGTCTCCTGTGCCATGTGACAAGCAGACACCAAGTTTGTTCAGTCTTTCTTGAAGCTAAAAAGTGAAAAATGACCTTATTGTCATTCATTCTTAATATGTTTTATCTAACACTAACATATTAAAAATCTGAAAACTCACAAGGCAACTACCCAGTAGTACAATAACTTGAATGAAAAATAGTACAAGCAGGGTAAAAGAGGTAAAAAGAGTTATAAACAGCTATAACAAACTTAAAGGAAGAATTGAAACACAATGATTTTATGAATTCACTAGCTTTTACCAGCCAGAGATAGATCTAAATGGAAAGGAACATGGAACAAAAAATTACAGTCATTACATAAACATGTAATAATTACTGAAATTACTTGATCAGGGATAAATAATCAGTGTCATAAAATAATGATACCTGTTTACTACATCCACCTTCGATTACAATGATGGTGTTTACTCTCTTCACAAGACTGAGTTCGTGCCATCTTTCCCCCATGAGTATAGAGTAAATAAGAGCCTATTTCACTCGTAGTTCCTCTCTCTGATCGCTAGTTTTGCCAGAAAGAGCGTTCATCACTGACACAATGAAGGGAAAATTGACAAGAAGCTCGTTCCAAATGTCAACAAACTTGAAATTTTCTGAGCTTTCGTAATCGTGTCCGTGTAGGACAGAACCCCTTTTCCGTTTGCAGAGTTTTGCGCAAAATGATTCGATGTCTCTGAAGCGAAGACCATCCAATTCTTTTACAACGTTTGTGCAGTAATCATGTAATATCATGGCCACAACAGCAGCATCCCTTGAGTTTACGGCACTTACAAGCATTCTTTGCTGAGTAATTGTCAATGTCGCCTCATTCACGGCCGTTGAGTTGTGTTCTCCATCCATAATTGGGACTACTTCGTCCTGAGACATCGGGTCTTCATTCGCGTTGGCGGTTTGGGAGGGAGGGAAGAGTTCTTTCGCTGTCACTTGCGTCGTAGATTTCCTCTTCGTTTGCTGGCAGGACGAAGGTGAAACATCAATGCAACGCTTTACAGAGACGTCCGTTGGCTGCAAATAGATGGTCTGGTTGACACTTCTCGTTTTCTTCACAAAATCGTACATCTTGTTTACGAAGTTTATGCATTTGCGGCACACAGAATTCAACTTATAAATATCACTCTCGCGAAGCGAAACAGCACAAGTACTTTCTATTTTCGATGCGAGTTCTTGACTAACACCAGCTTTTCCAAATACTTTGACCATGTGTCGACGTTCAGTGGCCTCACAGCAAAGTTACACAAGGGATTTCTCAAAGAAAACTTCTTC